AGTACAAGGATGTGTTGGACTGCCGTTTTGAGAAATTGAAGGCTTTGAATCTCTACGTGAAGAACCTCAAAGTATTCATCGATGACAAAAGATTACAACAACTTTTCGATCGCCTTCGACGAACAATCTCGAACAGCGGTCCAACATATCCTTATACGAACCAAAAATCATTAATCTCATCTCTCTCCCACGGAGTTTAAGCGAAATGGCTTCATCCCGACCACCATCTTTGTCATTTCGGTCTCTTCCACTGCCACCGTCACAAACGGCGTAAGAGATACTTGGAGTAAAAGTTGACGTAACTGTAACAAAGAGATTTTCGACTGCGATGGTAACGGCAAAGGCGAAGAGAAAAGATGGGAGCAACAGAAGAGAATTTGCTATAGTGATCCAACTCGGTAACATTCGGCTCCAAATCTCTGCCGTTGGTCCCATCGTTTCTCTTTACCTTTGTCGTTGCCACTGCGCTGTAAAATCTCTTTGTTATGTTACCTCAACTTTTACTCCAATTATCATGCTTACTTTTTCTTGGCTTCATTTTCTCGAGTTTCTTGGAGCCGTTTCCTTTTCTTGGTGTCAAGAATTGGGTTATTTCTTGTTTATTTTATGTGAATCAGTTCAAGTAAGTGCGATATCTTTATTCTTCATTTCTTTGTTTTTCTTTTGACAACATATATATCATCTTTTGTTGTGCCTGGTGATCTCAAATCTTTTGTTCTTGTGCGAGTAAGGTGTCCGATCCGAGCTGCCTCTCTTTCAGTGTGGTTAGTGGCCCTTCACGAGTTAGCCTGAATAATATGGTTGTTTCGCAATAAGGTGGTTTTCAATGAAGTTAAAGTTGACGAGAACCAAATGTTTGTCATTTTCATCGCTAGGAAGGCCTGCTGGAGTAGATGTAACTGGCCTGATAAGATAACCTCTGTTACTAACTTTATTCTTGATCCTGCGTTGGTTTCGATTGGTACTGTGATTGGGGGGTGGGGGGAATCTCTTGTGGCCTATCCCATTATCTTTTAATGCTGATGGAGCGAACTAGGACAGCTCTGGCGTTGGTTGAATCTGTGTAAGTTAATCAGGATGTTGTTTATTAGTGGCTGCTTATAGGTGTTGGTAATGTCATCTAATTTGTGTTTGCCTGAGATTGAGTTTTTTAAGTAGATTGGATCTTCTCCTGCTCGAATTCACATATGATAAGGACGGATGTTTCGAAGGCATCGATAGGGACGGAGCCGTAGCAGTCTGGAGTATAGGCATGGTTGAGTGAAGGATTGACATAGTAGTTCTGGAGAAAGTCACCGCTTCTAGCAGTCGGTACATACAAAGCATCCTTGATGATAGATGCTGACTTGTTACTGCCAGCTACCTTTGCTAGCTTTCCCTGGTACTCCTTGAAATACTCTACTTGCTATGGTTTTTATTTTTTGAAGGAAAATTAGAGGCTATACTACAAAGCTCTGTCATCATAACCAGATCCAGCTGAAGCAAAATTGGCTCCAATAAGAATGATCTACCCTGATGCTTCAAGCTTAAATATACTTTGCTTGAATGTTTTGGTTCATTTTTCGAACAGTAAAACGTATATAAAGACTTTAGTATGAAGGGGATAGTATGTTTCTATTTGCCATATTAAATTTGTTTACATATATTTCATTCATTGGTTTTTTTAATTTATAACTTAAGATTAAACTAAATTAAATGTATTTAATTGTTACTTGAATAAACCGAATCAAACAGCGTAGCTAGAATGAGATATCTATTGTCTCATATTTTTGGTGAGTTAACGATAGGGCAAGGAACAGATGTAGTAAAGGATATCTATATGTGAAAGATTATAGTAGCATATTCAACTTAAGACTGACATTATTTTATTCCAGATTTGAGAAAAACAAGAAGCAAACACATCGAAAACGAAATGAAAAAGAGGGCATTATTTATTTATGGGAGCTCCTGATTGGGATCCCTGAAGCCAGTAGTCTCACGGAGTTCCCGTGTGTGAGGGTGTAGATTCAACCGGAACACAACGACAGCTACAGCAGCTTCCGCCTGGCGGTGGCGGCCCGCAGCAGACGCAAGCGGGACAGAAAACTGCAACAGAGAAAACCAAGATTAACAAATCAAATTCCAAAGACAAATACAGGTCTGCAGTTAACACGTGTAGCAAGGATTTAAATTGCAGTTGCGATTGTGTTTTTGGTTGCGTTGCGTTTGTCACAATTGCTGACAAAACAAATGTTATTGCAGTTATTGTGGGTATAGCAATCGTGCAATAACAGTTTTGGACGATAATAAAAAGGTTATATAACGACAGCTATTCCGATAACCAACTGTTATCTAAATCCCTGGTGTGTAGTGGTTTAAGGGTTCGTACCGTGAGGAGGACGAGCGGCATCACAGGGTAACATGGGAGACAAAACCAGGGAGAACATAACAAGGCATATCAGTACAGATCTTGTGTGGTATTCTGCCATATTTGCCTATGAGCTTATAAAGAAGACTGGTTTGCTGGTGCAAATTAAGAGGTACTAATCCACCTTATTTATATGCACTTCTTAAGCAAGTCGTCTGCATCTTTTCCTTTTGTTTTTCTTTTTTGTATTCGTTAATTTAGTACCAATTTTTCAGTCAAATGTTGTGAATTGGTCAGATATTTTTGTATTTTATTTTCTTGATTTTACATTCAATGTTCATAGATTACGACTTATTCTGGGCCTGCTACTACCTTTTTTTATTAAATTACTTAAATCAATTATAAATTTTTAATATACTGCTTTTCATATTTATATTTGTTTCTCTTTCAGAAAACATATTTATATTTGTTAAATCTTCAAAGATAGTTTCTGAAAACTTCTCCATTTGTCGAAGTCTTCAATTAGCCTGCGTCTTACAAATGTAGGTTTTTGGTCAATTACAGCGCATATATAAGACTTCTACCACTACAGCAAAACTGACTTTTTGCGGGTTTTTTTTAGCTATAACGGCATTTTTAAGCGCCGCAAAAAACACATGCGGCGATATGACAAACGCCGCAAAAAGTGCCGCTAAAGTTCGCAGCATTTGGTAACAAAAAATATCACAATAGGTAACGATATATAGCGGCGTTTATCTTTGAAAACACTACTATTGATTGTGTGTTTGCCGGCATTTGTCTTTGACAACTCCCCTATTGACTGTGTATTTAGCAATTAATTGTGTATTTAGTGGCATTTGTTATTAAAAACGCTACAAATAAGCCCATTATTAGTGTCATTTTCATCTAAAAATGTCGCAAATGGCACTATTAGGAGTAGCTGCATGAGTTGCATAAAATACCATAAAGACATTCTTTACACCAACAGTAATAATCAATTTTATAAATCAAAGAATATATTGTAGATATTAAATAAAAACAAGTAACTTGAAATTAAAAGGGTGGAAAACATTAATATAACAAAAATACATACAAATGTATACATATGTGTTGCATATACTAGAAACATAAATAATGGAATTTATTGAGCAGACATTCTACTTATAGTTCTACCAAGTAAAGGAAACTTCTATCAAACTAAACTTTCATAGCTTTAAAGAATATCTTTGCACTCCTTCGAGCCCCCAAAGCTTTAAGCAGCCTGAAGAAAGAAATCATCTTACCATTCTGCTTCGCTTAGATTCTTCATCACTGTCATTGGCATCATCTCCAGTAGCTTTTCTGGCAGAATGATATGGGAAAATATCATCAGTAGCAGCAGCCTCAGAATGGCCATGACCATAATCAAGAACCCGACTAACATTGTCCCACAGAAATTCAAATATATTGTAGCTCTGTACACAATGCTTTCTGCAATTTAGTTGGATGCTTTTGTTAGAACAATGCACAATACATAGAAAATACACAACAATAAGGGTAACAAAAAACAAGATCCAAAGACACATAATACGATACTATGATATTCACAAGGCTTGTTAATTTAAAAATGTTGCATGATCCAAGGTTGAAAAGATAGAGCGGCACTATAAATTTGAATAACCATCTAAACAGTACTTCAGAAGGCATATATATATATATATGCAGGAAATCCAGGGTTGAAACAATAGTGTGGCAATATAAATTCGTATGACCATCAGACCAAGAGACAGAGCAAACGCTGGCAAGGCAGCAAGGATTGCAAAGTTGATTTCATTTGCTCTGAGAATCTTATCCAATTCAAGCATTGCCCTAGTTCAATGAGCATCATAAGAAATAAAAGGTGGCAATTGCATGATAAAAATAACGTGCATTACCTGGATGAGCAGAGCACGAGCGAGCTCTCTATGGAGAAGATTCTGGATAGGGTTAATAAGTTCCTTTTCATATCTATATTATTAATCCCAATGATTAGAGTTCCACTCGAAGAAGAAATTTTCCACACTAAGAAATAAAAACCACAGCATGGGAGTTCAGTTAAAACAATAAGCCTAAGATCTGTTGCATAACTAAAGTGGGTTTTGTTTCAGTTATATTTGGTGCTTGGATCTGGTTCAGTGCTGAGTTTCGCTTTAGTGTGGCGTTTGCTATTGGTGTTGTTTGGTTTGATTATTTTATTTTCGTTTCGATTGTATGTTTGATTATTGCGTTGTTTGATCAAATTGTATGCACTCTTTTCCTCCATTTAAGCTTAGGGAAATTTATAACGAGACATACAATTTAATATGGTATTCGGTTCAATTTTAATAAAACTTCTTTTGCCAAGCCAAAAAAACGATGAATCAATTACTACCAACAAAATCATCTTGTTCCTATAAATAATATTAATCCCATTTTTTTCCCAATTCCATTTTTTGATAAGCTACCAACCTCAATTTCCTAGAAAAGGCAATTTAACTTTTGGGTATATCTAGTGTGCTTTCATTGGCTTCTATTCATACTTTCACATTGTCTTAAGCAAAAAAAAATTAACATGTCATATAATTAATCATCTTTTTCTCTCAAAATAGAGACTTTATTTTCGAGGAGAAGTCTACTAAAAAATTGAAGGTTTATGATGAGTGAAAATAGGCTTGAGTCGTTTGATACTATGTTTCCTGAAGCTATTAGGTATTTCTCCCAGCTTGTGGGTACTTTTGATCCTAGTGCGGTGGTTGGTGTTATTAACCTTTTGAATGAACTCTTTGTCTAAGGAATGAGAGACCTTTTGGTTAGGGGAGTGACAGATAAGGAGATAAAGGAGGCTATCTTCTGCCAAGGGGATGAACAGGGATGAAAAGCCCCTGGCCCTGATGGATATTCCTCTTTGTTTTTTTAAAGTCTCATGGCCTATTATGGGAGAGGACTTCATCAATGTTGTGAGTTATTTATTCTCTTATTCTACTTTTTTGCCAATATTCAATGCAACTTCTCTGGTGTTAGTGCCTAAGGTTCCAAATGCCAGCATAATGAAAGACTTTCGGCCTATATCATGTTGCTCTGTTGTGTATAAAACAATAACTAAGATTCTGGTAAATAGGCTTGCCAATGTCTTCCCTAGTATGATTATTATGAATCAAACAACCTTTATTCAGGGGCGTAGCATTATTGATAATACCCTTTAGGCCTAGGAACTTGTTAAAGGTTATGGGAGAAAATCTGTCTCTCCTAGATTCACCTTGAAGATTGATTTGAGGAAGGCATTTGACTTCGTGCATTGGGGTTTTATTCTTCACATTTTTGAAACTCTTGGTCTGTCTTTGCAGTTTAGGAAGTGGGTTCAAGCATGTCTCACAGCTTCAAGATTTTCCATTTCTTTTAATGCTAGTTTGGTTGGATTTTCTAAGGGTGCCAGGGTATTAGACAAGGGGATCCTCTTTCCCCTTGCTCTTTGTGTTTTCCATGAACGTTTTTTTTCGAAAATGCTTGATGTGGATGTTGTGAATGAGATTTTTAAATTCCAACCTAAATGCAAGAGGGTAGGGCTTACTCACTTGTGCTTTGCTGATGATCTACTGACCTTCTATAAGGGGACCTTAGGTTCTATTGTTGGTGTGCTCAGTGTCCTGGATTGCTTCTACTCCTATTTTGGTCTGAGGCTGAATGCTACTAAAAGTGAAGTTTTCATTTCAGGAGCTTCTGTGGATCAATTAGAGGTAATTAAGCAGATTACGGGGTTTTAAATAAGGTTGTTCATTACCTTGGAGTTCCTTTGGTAACGAGGAAGCTCTCTGATAGTGATTGTTCTCCTTTGATTGACAAAATTAGGGACAAGTTAAAGGTGTGGGGGTGCAAGCATCTCAGTTATGCTGGCAGAGCTCTACTTAATCGTTATGTTCTCTTTAGTTCGGTTACTGGTGTAGACAACTTATTCTCCCTCAATCAGTTATTAAAAAAGTTGATCAGCTATGCTCCAAATATTTCTGGAAAGGTAAGGATATTGCTGCCTCTAGTGCTTAGGTCAACTGGTGTCAGATTTGCACTTTAAGGTCTTAGGGTGGTCTTGGGCTTAGAGATACTAAGAGCTGGAGTAAGGCGTGCTCCCTCTTTCTTATTCAAAAAATTCTGGCTGAGGAATGATCGTTCTGGGTGGCTTGGTTAAATGGCTATGTTTTTAAAGGGGTCAAGTTATGGAATGTGGAGGATAAACCTAATGCTAGCTGGTGAATTAGGAAACTCCTGGATTTGAGGGGTGTTACTCGACCGCTCATTGCCTATGCTCCTAGTATGGCCTTTATAACTGTCAGTTGGATCTGGTGTAGGATCAGAGATGAGTCCCCTAAAGTTCCTTGGCATAAGACTTTGTGGTTCGTTCTTCACGTCCCAAATAGGGATGGCAAAAAAACTCGAACCCGACGGGGAAAACCGAAAACCGAATTAAACGGGTCGGGTTCGGGGATGATAAACGGGGATGGGGACGGGGACGGGGAAAACCCATTTATTTTAAACGGGGACGGGGACGGGTTTGGTAATCCCCACCCCGATTACCCGATTACCCGCCCCGATTACCCGCCTCGATACCCGACCCGATAAATATTAAAAATAATTATTTATATATATATATAATATTAATAAATTTAATTTAAATAAAAAATATATATTTATATATTTAATTTAAATATATATATATATATATATACCCGGCCCGATTCTCGGCCCAATACCCGACCCAATACCCGGCCCAATACCCGTTTAAATAACCGTTTATGCTAAACGGGGATACCCGTTTCCCCACGGTTTTCTCCGATTACCCGACGGGGATCCCCGTTTAAATCCCCGCGGTTTTTTAAACGGGGACGGGTACCGATTTTTTAAACGGGGACGGGGGGACCAATACCCGGCCCGAACCCGGCCCGTTGCCATTCCTAGTCCCAAAGCATGCGATTGTCGGGTGGATGGCCATCCTTGGTAGACTTCCCACCAAAAACAAGTTATTGAGTACGGGTATTGGAGTGGATGGAAGCTGTGTTTTCTGCAATGGCTTTGAGACTATGAATCGCCTTTTCTTTGAGTGCTCCTACTCAAAGAATATATGGGAGACTATTTTGGCTAAATGTAACCTTGTTATGATTGCATTGGATTGGGATGTTGAGCTTCGGTGGGCATTGACTTACCTGGTGTGTTTGATTCACGGAAGTAAGATTACCAGTGGGAATGTAAGATTACCTGGGAATAGGATTACTGGAATGTTGTATTTTGTGTTTGGTTGGTTTAGCATGAATGTAAGATTATCGTGTTTGGTTAAAGGAATAAAATTTATATATTTTCTTTAAAAAGTTTAAATTCATAAAATTTATATATTTTTTTTACAAAATTGAAAATATAAAAAGATTTGATGAAAGGGTAAAATTTTATTTTAACCTCTGAACTTCATATAAAATTTTAATTATAGATTTTTTTTGTAAATCTAAAATAGTTTAAGGATAAATTTTTAATTTAACCTTCATAGAATTTTTATTATTCAATGACAGAAGAATGATATTTTAGAAAAAAAAAGTAAGGGTATTTTAGTCCAAAACGCCGATAATCCAACAATACCTAAGGAAATGAAGGTAATGACATTCTTGGCAATATACCCTAAAAAATCTACTATTGGTAATCTTACATTACCGGGAATGAGATTTCCGGGTAAACCAAACGGGGGAATGTGGATTTCATTCCCATGAGAATCCCACATTTCCCCATCCAAACGCCCCCCAAGGGTAAATCCTTATTTACTTTTATCATCAAGGTAGCTTGGAATGCTTGTGTTTATTGTATTTGGGATGAAAGAAATAGAGGGCAGTTTAGGAGAGTAAGTAGGAGAGGTGATGAGATTTTGAATGTTATTGAGATGATTGTTAGGATTAAAGTTGCACATAGTTGTATAGACATGAATGATGATGTAAATGGAAGATTTTGTTCTAGGTGAGGACTTGTTTGTAGGTGCTGATTTTTTGTTGCTCCTATTATTTTGTAGCAGTTTTTACTGATTTTGCTTGGATAAATACAAACACACTTATCCGAAAGAAAAAAATTTGAAACTTCATCTCTTGAAAACGAAAGATTTGTATTTGATGTATTGTGATAACGTAAATTTATATATTAATGAATAATTATATTATGGGCATGTCATTAGAAAAGAAACGATTTTAAACTAATTACATTTTTATACTTTGACTCTTTCCAACCTTCAAGCATGTCTCATTCTCCCTGTTTTCTAGCACACTCTTTCCCCTGCATTTCCACAAGTCAAAATTTCCCATTTTATTTTGTCACTATACATTCAAAGGAGACTAAAGAATTCAGTTGACCCAGTTTACGTATTAGTCTGATTTTATCATCGGTTTTAAAATATTTAATTCAATTGATTCATATGATATAATCTTTACTTTAGTAATAATAACCTATCGAATTATTTCGGTGGTAGAAGGAAATGGTATTCTTTTTAAAAGTCTTAAATTCAAATAATTACGTATACATGATATGTGTTATTAATGATTAAAAAATTATCTGCAAATAACTTAAAGATCATGACAAAGTAAAGATCACACTACAGAGCACGTCCCTTTCATTCAAGTATATTTTGGTATTTGGATCATGTTTGGAGAAATATGCTTTTAGATAGGGGTGTTCAATCGGTCGATTCGGTTAACCGATCGAATTGAACTTCTAAAATTTCATTGATCGAATTCTTTTCTTTTAACTATTAACCGAATCGAAATTTTTTGAAAACAATTAACCGAATTGAACAGAGTTTGGTTAATCGATCGGTTAACCGAATTAATCAAAATTTATAAATATTATATATTATATATTTTCAGCTAATTCGGTCGATTAATTCAATTAAAACTAAAGTTTAACGTGTTTTAGATACGGCTTAAATATACAAAAGGTACCCAACCTATGTCCCTTTTTTTAGTTTAGTATCTAACGTTTATTTCGTTTCAGTTTCGTTCCTAAAGTTTCATTTTGTTACTCAAAATGGGTCAAACCGTGACAGACCGTTAAGTTTGGTTGTTAAGTGACATATGTCAACCCCTAAACCCACACCGGTCGTCGCCTTTCGCCATTAATGAAGCTCCACTCGACCTCTCCTCCCCATCGGCGACCAAACCCCCATGAAATCATGACCGATCGACTTCGATCGGCCTTTGGAATCTCGTGGGATCGCGATTTTCATCCTAGCGTTCACATGGTATAAAACGTTGATTCGCCATCGATCGATCACGACTTTATTGGGGTTTTGGTCGTTGAGGGGAGGGGAGGTCGGATAAAGCTTCGTCGACTGCAAAAGGTGGCGGTTGGCGTGCATTTAGGATTTGAAATGAATGTTTTCAAAGTTTTGGATTTATTTCAAAATTTGTGTTTTCTTTTTAATATATATGTATTTAATTTTAAATAAATTTTTTAAAATTATCAAGTTGTGACATATGTCACTTAACTGAGAAATTAATGTCGTTGACGACCCAGCACCTAAATGAGTAATAAATTATGAAACGTTAGACACCAAACTAGGACAAAATAAACATTAGTCACCAAACTGAAAAAATGGGCATAAATTGGACACCTTTTGTATATTTAAGCCTTTAGATAATGGCTCTGCAGCATACTGTGAATCCACTTCCCATGGAATCAGCTCGTCTCGTAGAAGCTGTACAATTCATTGCAAAATAATGTCAGCGTTTACCATTTCTGAAAAAAAACAATGATAACCGATCAACTTACCTGGATGAAATCAGAGTAAGAGCCCCAGTTTGATGTAGTGAATATCGTTTGAGTCGACAAATCCGGAAGCAGCAATCGAAAAAAGCTGCATAATCTAATGACTTCAGATGGGATATCACAAAAAGACACTCGAGATATACAACTGACATCTCTCCTAGGCCTTCAGAATCGATTGCTTGTTTGTCTGTAAAAGCAAGAACAACAGGAAACTGAATTAATCAAAATCACAATTCATGACATTGTTGTAAACACGACGAAACAAGGAAGAATTAATCAGAATATTGAATTCTGACGATACAAGGTAGTTCTTCAAGTTCATAAACCACCGACTGTTTAGATGAAGACGGCTCCCCCATACAACAAGTATATGATCTCGGGGACTTCCGGTGTGAATGGAAACCGGCGGCAGCGCTGCTTGTCAATTTCTGATCATAAAGCAATGATAACTACAGGATTTAAGGTTTGGAGCGTCAATCTCAATCTCTGTTGGCAACCTTTACGATGAAAATTTAAGAACAAATTCTGAAGTTGGAGGCTAGAGATTTTAAGCCTTTCGAGACGATCAATGGGTTTTAATAACAGTTTCCGAAGAAATGATAACTTACAACGAAGTCTTGAACATATTCTACTGTAAACCTGGAACATAAATCCAACTCCTCCAGACTATCACAAGAAACTAAACGAAGCTTTAATGGCTTGCCACGCGTTATATATTCACAGTAGAAAATTTTAATATTTTTGGCTTCGATCCGAATCACACGAACGCCTGCAATTTTAACTTTGTTAAGCTTCGGATGATCCCGTAGTTTGACACGCTTCACTTCACAATTTTCAAGAGAAAATTCCTCTAGCAAAGGGAACTTGGCTAACATGTTTTCCAACGTCTTGTGACTTAAAATTTTAACTTGGTATAAAGACACACCGCCTCACCCTTACCAAAAATCCTTCGTCTCTCTCTCTCGAGGACCGGGGCTTAAGCATGATGTCTTCATCGTTCATGATTCTGGTTAGTTCTTGGCTTCCACTTCTTTTTTTTCATCTACAGTTTATTTTTATGGGCTAGTTTTATACTTCCAAGATTTCTTATCTATCATCCATGTCTTGTTTTTCCTTATTTCTTT